CTTTCCCTTTAAAAATACCTGTTTTCATGATTATCACTTCATATAAGAGATTATGCAGTATTTAGCCTTACAAAAGGTGATTTGGGTCTTTACTTCCATGGTTCATATTCTATTCTATTATTTCTTAGCTCTTCCTTCCAGTATTTGTGTGTGACTTCACATTCATTCCATTGTTGAACATTTTAACATCATTTAGTATAGATTTGTATGTCTTTTTATATCTGATTTGCTAAATGTTCTGTATTTTCCCTAGAACATCCTGACTTTTAAGACATCATATGATGAGCGTTTCAGAATATTAACTTTGTTGATCTTTATGATCAGACACAACCTGCCTCAAAACAACAGTTGCAAAAGCTGATATTCATTTGCATTATTTATATGAAGGGAAGGTCTGAAAATATATAAACAATATCCATGGATTCGATGTAAATTGTAAATATGTTTAAAAACTGCGTTTTACTACAGAAGATAACTAAGTACACTTGTGGATTACTTAGTAGTAGTTGAATTTTATTTAGTATAAGACTATAATATTAGTATAAAAACAATACTTATTATAATTTGGCTTCCCATACGGTTGAATTATAATAGGTTGTAAAAGGACTGGAACATGGAGTCTTTAGTATATGTGTTAAATAGTAACTATGTTAATAGGAATGTATTGCACTGTTTTAGAGTTAGCTATAGTAACACCATGTGAGAGCAGTATATTCTGTTGGTCCACACACCAAATCTTTTGTGGTTGCTTACTTGCTGAGAATAATATCACAACAAATCAGCAAACCTGAATTCTTCTGATACAAGATTGAATTTTTAACGAAAAGCCGTAGGGAGAAACTGGAGCAGCTGTGGGGAGGATGCCATCACAACTCCTGCCCAACAAGACAATTTTATGTTAAAATACTTCTATGTTAAAACATTTTAGAGCAGCCTTTTTATTTAAAGTCAAGCCTGCAGCTTTTAAATAGAGCATTCTCTATACTCAGGATCTTAAAATTTATTTAATATGAAAATGAGCCCTAGGCTATAAACAGATGTCACCAAATGAAGTGGATCAGCTGTGCCTAGACACAGAATTGGGTCCTAGCTACACCTGCTCAGGAGTGGCAGGGGCCTAATCCTGGGCAACAACACTCAGGGTGCACCTCTGCAAGCAAGGAGACCCCGGGTTCCTCACTTGCAGAGGTGAGCCCAGAGATTCTGACTTGGGGGGCACTGCCAGGCCTTCTGGGGCCTGATCCTGCGTTTGGATTACCCTCAGAAATGAATTGGAAGCCAACATAAACCAAGTACCTCTCAGAGTCGATTGCTTGTTCCCATTCCATTTGATGGGATTAGGTTTGGCTCCTAGCATTGCTGTTAGGGAGGAAATCCAAATATCAAATAACATCCTGGCCTTGTTGAAGGTAGTGGGAATTTTGCCATTATCTTCACTGGGGCCTAGCTTTCACCCATGGCCTCTACATCTTATCCAGCCCTGGCTGCTTCTTCCCTTTTCCTTGTCATAAGAAGCTGTTGAAAACTAATGGTTCTGAGGTCCAGAGAAAGGCCTGATCTCAAGGCTTAAGACCATGCCCCTTTGAAGTTCTTCCTCCAGTGATATTCAGAGCAGAAATACCACATTTTCATAAGCATCTGTCAGGAAGCAAAGTAACTCTTAGTTTGTTTAATAAGTGGCCATTGATCAGAGTTTGATGAAGTTAGTTAAAGGAACTTTAACAAAAACGTTATGCAGTACCATATTTGTTAAAATTGGTATAGTGATGTTCTATTGAAATGCTTTCCTATGTTGTTTTGCAGTCAAATTGTTCTGAAGGGGAGATGTTTTCTGACACAGTGAAAAATTTATCAGAAAGCCTAAGAACTATGTTTTAAAAAATTTATATATATAACTATATATATATATAGATATAGATATATATATATATAGTCTATAGTCATATAATATATATATATATATTTAATATATAAATTTCCAATCTGAATGCTAGGAAGTTTTATATTATTCTGAGCAATTCTTCCAGGTCAGATATTAGTCCTCATGTGTTTTTTGAATTGATGTTTTCTTCTAGAAGTTGTATATTTCCTTGACCAATAAATCTTGACATGAACACAGCATAATTTTCAGTCTTATTAATCGAATTAGCTGCCATTTGTTATTGCACAACATGTTGTAACTGTGTTCGGTAACCTTTTACTATGCGCATCGCACAATATGTTGTTGTTGAGGGCCCAGTCCTCCCAGTGAAGTCAATGGCAAAGTTCTCAGAAGCTTCAGTGGGGAGGTTTTGGTCTTTAGCATACACCTAATGTGTAGTATGAACTGGCTTGTAAAATGTGCAAGGAACTAAACATTTCTAAATTAGCAGCGTGTTGATTCTAATCCTTGCAGTCTGAGTGCATTAATGTCACTTTCTGTTAAATGCTCTGGTATGTTACACTTCTTGCTAGTCTTTTGCTATTCTGTTTAGCTGCCTTTATTGCAAGCTTATTCTACAGTTGCACTAAGGCAGTGGTTCTCAAATGGTGCTCTGTGGATTGCAAGTGGTCTACAGAACACCTGCTGGTCACATGGTATTGGCTCCTCCTTGCTCTCAATTGTCATGTCACTTTTAAAAGCAGCTAAAATGTTCTTAGTATTGTTTTCCCACGTAAGTGATGGCTTTAGTTACTACATAGCGGTTTTGCGATCTTGAGTAGTATAGGAGGTGGTCCACACAATTGGCAGTGGGAGGAGAGACGGTCCATGAGGCATTACCTCTGTTACGGTCCACTTTGTCAAAGTGTTTGAGAACCACTGCAGTAAGCATTTGAGTTGCTTATGTTTATACTGTGTTGCTGCTCCTTAATCATGCATGTTGCACCTCCATTTCTGTGCAGATTGCAGCCCCCCTCCTGAAGAGTCCAGCCCAGGTATGTGCGTTTTCCATTCATGGCTTCCGCTTCTGAAAATTGCAATTTCTGTTTGTATTCAATAATTGAACAAGTGTTTTGCAGATGAGTTACCTGACGTTACATTGGAACAATGCCTTCCACTGTACCAGTTAACTTCTATACATACATAGCATCTTACCCTGGAATTCAGAGTCATTGTTTCCTATGTTGAAATGGGACAGGTTCGCTATAAACAGTGCTAGCTTTATATGTTGAGATATAAGGAAATATTCTGTGATGTTCTCCAGTTGACAAGTTTTAGTAAGTTGAGATGTGAAAGTTTAGGACTTGTTTCAAATGCCATTGAAGTCACTGGGGATCTGATTACTGATTTTAGTGGGATTGTGCCTTTTTCATATTAGGTGCTACACTTAGAATTCTGCATGAGCATTTGGAAATGAAGCAACCAGAATGGCTAATGGAGAGGCCATTTGTGGGTGTGTAACAGCAGTGTAGGGCACTATAAACCTAACTTTCCAAATAAAAGCTTTGAAATAGTTTAATCACAATGTCAGCCTCTTCTTCTCTCACTTTATAACTTCACAGACTCACAGGATATTCGCTAAGTATAAATCTTAAAGATCTTTGTCCCACCTAGACAACGGTATATATTTTGTCTCATTTGAGATCAGTTTTGAGTGGTAAAGGTTTCATTTCTAACTAAGCCAACTTAAAATTCTTTTGGGATGAATAAAATTGTCAAGGGATCATGCTCTTAATGCTGATCTCTCCACCCCACTAGTAGGCTGTTAAAAGTTTCCTCTCCTCTGCCCTCTGTGTATGTGTGCCTTCATTCTCTCCAGTAGGTAGGTCTACATGATGATTTTCATTTTTAAAGTGCAATACAAACATGAATTCTCATAAACTAATGTAGGAAGGTGAGTGTCACTACTTTTTACAGATGAGTAAATAGAAACAAATCAGTTGGGACAAATGCATTTAAACCTGAGTATCTAAAGATATGTGGCTAAGGCCCTTCTTTAGCATAATATGCATTTATTGTCCTTGAAGTTTGTTTGATCTCTGTGCTCAAGCATGCCATTAAATATGTATGAAATTAAGCAAATACTTTTGCTGAATCAGGAGCTAAATACTTATTTCAACATCTAAATAAATAGTCTAACTCTCAGGGGTGCTACATACCTGAAGCTCTTGCCCAAGTGGAACTAGCAGCAGCAGGTACTCAGCACTTTTATTTTTTGACTTCAGGCTCCTGGGGGTTTTTTTTACATTCCAGGTCTCTTTCTTTCAGTCTGCTGCTTCCTGTTCCGGACTGTAAAGCAGTTGTAATTTTTTTCCTTTAAAGGACTTCACATGCCTTATTGAAGCTGGAGAGATGTTATTACAATATTCATTTTTAATTACTCTAGAAAAAGAAAATGCTTTAAAGGAAAACTCTTAAGTCCATTAATTCATGTAAACTTTACCATACCATGAGCAATGGGACCATCCCACTGTAGTCCTTTCTCCTCATTTTGAAGAGCTGCATAGCGTGAGAGTCCACTATATGACTTATTTTTTTTCTTATGTCTGTGATATGTGCCCCAGTAGCATAGATAGGCAGCCATAGAAGCCTTTTTTCCCTCCCTTATGCAGACATTTTTCTGCCTCATCTGCTTTCTTTTTGTCTCATCATTTCTGGAGGCTGCTGCTTGCAGGAAGGACAGTGTATTTCCAAACTCTTCTATTCAGGCCTTCCTTCTGGTTTCCCAATAGAAGTAGTAAGAATGGAGAAGATCTCAAGACAAATCCTGCCATCTTCTGCCAG